TTTTCAAAATTAAAGTAATTAAAACAATAATAAAAAGTAATTTATTTTATTAGGAATAAAGTAGGCTAAATGTAAACATATTTATTAATATTTCTGTATGATTAATTTCTATCATTTTTCAAATTAAACTTCATAATAACCATCTTTATATAAGAACATGGTAATTTTTAATTCTATATATAGAAGTTGAAGATATTTCTGGTAAATTGGCCTAATTGTGGTGAATATTCTTTTATTTTATACTTCTTGACTTCCCCTTTTTTTTTTTCGAGTAAAAAATTTAAATAGGAGTTGGAATTTGGTATATAACATCGTTGAAAGAAAATTTGATATGAGAATAGAGAGAGAAATATTTTAATGAATCTCACATCCATTTGTATTTTTTTTTCTTTTTCTTTTTCTTACAAACTAACAAACAAATTCTTTTACAATCTTTTGTTCCTCTTCTTTTAATTATTTTATTTATTTATTTTTTTCATTGTATCTATTAATTAAATTATACAAATTTTGTTCTATTATTAGTTGATATAATGATTGATTATTTCAAACGAATAGAAATGTTAATGTCAAGGTTGAATAGGATTGACCATAATCATGAATCAGGTTTTGTCGTTTGGATGATTTCTTTTAACACGTGACTCTTTCTTTCTTTCTTTCATTCTTCTATTTTATTTCTACTTTTTTTTCTTTTTCTTTTTCTTTTTCTTTTTTATCGCTTTTATATCGTGAGTTATCGTCTTACACGTATAGAATTCTGAATCGTGTGTATATGTAAATGTTAAACGGAGATTGGAACACGAGAATGTGGAACGAGTTTATTTTAAATGCAAGTTAGATATTGTAAATGTTGTTAAGATTTATTTTAGACGTATGGGGGAACCCTAATTCGCGAGTTTTGCGTTGTTTTATTACTAATAAATACAAATTATAAGATTTAATTAATGTTAGATGCATACATGCATTGAATATTAAAATATCTGTGATTGTTTGTGTCAATTAGAATGAATAATGTTGTTAACAAAAGTTGTTTTAAATGTTAGATTTATTTCAATATTAATTTATATGTATGTATTTGAAGAGTAATTTTTTTTAAATGTAAATTTACAATTCTTTTGGAATTCATTTTCATAAATAATTTTTTTGAAAAAATGTTTTGTCATATCAAATATCAATTAAAATCAAGAAAACAAATGTAGAACATTGAAATTAATTAATTTGATATTTTTTTATATAAAATAATTCACATAATGACACTTTTATTTTCATCGATAGGCGTTTAAAATATTTAACATTTATTCAAATATCGATCTGTTCGTATAAATAAATTTAAAAACAGTAAATAAATTCATTTACATTTTCTATTACAAACATTTGCAAATTAATGATTTCATAGAGATATTTCAAATCTAGATTTATCAAGATAATTTATAACATAAATAGTAACATTTATATCTTTTATAATCTTTATATCTTTTTTAATCAAATTGTAATTAATTTTCATTAAAAGTTATTTATAATATTCGATATATTTTAAATATTTATTTATTTTAAGATATTACAGATTTTGAATATTATCAAATCTTGATAAATAAAAGTATAATTAATATTTCTCTTACAATTATTTATAATTAATATTAACAAAGATTTCATTGATTTTAATTATAATAAAAAAAAAAAAATGTAAAACATAGATTTTTTTCACACAGAATATAATTTCCTTAGAAAATGAATTCCAAAAAATATATATATATATATATATATATTTGCCTTACAATGTGTGATTTAAATACAGATGAAATTATTTAGATAATATATAAAAACATTTTGCACAAAAAAAAAAAAAAAATTCCTACACATCAATAAATTCGATCGATTTTGATAAAACTACGAGATACTACTAACATAAATCATTTGTTATTATTTCATCGTACATGAAGATTTTCTTTAGATCGTGTTTCTTTCTCCTCTAATATAACAATCCATATTTTATTGATGTTCTAAATCTTTCTCTTTTTAAACACTTAGGTTATCGAATACTTCGTGCTTCGAAGAAAATCGTTCGGATTTTCGACTTTGCGTTAAGATTCTAAGAAAATTTATTGATTACAAAATGTCATCATTCTTTTTTTACATATCTATCTATTTATCAGAAAACATGATTGTAAACTAATAAAATACGATCCCTTCTCATCTCCCCTTTCCCATAAACAATTGGAACAAACAAATCGTAGTATGTATTGTACAAGAGTCTTCGTTTTTTATTTATTTATTTATTTATTTATTTATTTATTTATTTTTTAGTTCACACACGTGTTTATGTATGTTATATATATTTTTTTTTGTGGTCATTTATTTCTTTTACTAATTTTTATTTTGTTTTACTTCACGCACGTGCTTATGTATGTTATATTTTTTTTTTTGTTCATTTATTTCTTTTTCCAACTTGTCTTTTTTTTATTTTTATTTTATTAATTTATTTATTTTATTTAATTTTTTTTTTTTTTTTAAGCATTAACTCGTGATCGAGTAGTATCGATCTGTCGATACTTTATTACCACACAATTTCTGGTATACGGTTTAACGACGACTATGTGAAATGAGAACGGCCTTTTACTCTACCGCGAACGATCGTAATGGCGCCAGTCTAATGGATAGCACATTGCGGAAGGAAAGTCATTCCTCGAATAACTTTGAAGAATCAACGTCTAAGAAGAAGAAGAAGTCTCTATGTCTTTGTGTATATATACCTATGTATGTACATATACATATATATATCTATATGTACATAGTAATCTAGTAGTAAATCTTCCTATTTTAATCATTCATTCACAATTTTCTGATCATTTGATATATCATTTTTTTTTTTTTTCATGTATTAACGTAATCTCGTGTGTATATATATATTTATGAATTATTTATTATATACTATTACATTTATATAATAATAATAATAATTATTATTATAAAATACTTTATAATAATTTTTATTATTATATTATTATATAAATTTAATTTAATATAATATTAGTAATTATTATAAAATATTATTTTATATATATTATATTTAATAATATATATATATTATAATTTATATATAATTATTATAAAATACATAATGTATTTTATGTAATAATATTTGTATTATTTTGATAAATGCAAAAATAAATATTGGAACAAAGTTATAAGGGGGATGTTAAGAAGATAAAAATGATATCATTTGTTGATTACACTCATTGGGGATTAATTATTGAATGATTTAACAAGCGCGAAAGTATTAGTCGATATTATTTGTAAGAACAGAATTGAAAAAAAAAAAAAATTAAATTGTATCTCAAAGTTTTCTTGGAAAGAGAGAAGACTAATCGTTTTCCCATTCTAATTCTCATTATACTTTTTTTTCTTTTTATTCTTTTATCTTTCATCGTACGATAAACAATTAAAAAGTAAATAAACGTCTGATTAATGTCATTCAACTAGGAGAAGAGTAATCGATTTAATTTATTCGTCGAACTTTATGATCGTTCTAAAATTCTTTATCAAATTGCGTCAAGCCTGATAAATTATTGTTATTGTTTACTCCAATTTTTTTTTTCTTTCTTTCTTTCTTTGTTGCCACTCCCAATTAATCATCGGTCTCTCGTATGTTACAATCGATATATCGTAACTTGAGTATTAGAAAATGATAATTTTACTGATTAAATTTCACGATGTTGTGTGTGCGTGTTTTTATTTCTTTTTTTCTTTTTCTTTTTCTTTTTTTTTTTCTTTTTGTATACATTTGTAAACTCAAAACTCGCGTTCAATCGCTCGTCGATAAGGACCGCATAATTTTTGTTTATTTTTTTTTATTTTTTTTTTATTTTTATTTTTTTTTTTAATTTCCTTTTATCGTTTATATAACAGTATATAATTATAGGGGTTCTTTAGATTTCTATTTATGTCAGATATAATCTTAATCAATATGTTGAGCTATGTATAACTAATTAAAAGAGATTTAATTTTATATCGTAATATTGTGCATACGTGTATATTTACACACATGCGCGTATTTATACACATTATTGCATGCTATGTTTATTTATTTTAAAAAAATTCTTTTTTTTTCTTTCGATAAATATGTTTACATAAACGAGATATATATTGAATCTCGTTAAATGCGTTAGAATAATTTAATAAGATATTTTACTGATTAAAAAAAAAGAAAAAAAAACTGAAAATAAAAATGAATGAGCAAATTCAAATGATTGGAAATGCGTTTAAACACAAATCGTTTCGTTTATATTTCTACTACCCTCATTTATTTATTTCCTTTTTTTTGTTTAATTCTTTTATACAAATACACATAATATATTACATATATTATTATACTTATTTCTAAATATAATTATAATAGTACAGAAAGATAGAAAAAGCTAAAAGAATAATTAGAAAAAAACATACGAATAAATAAATAAATAAATAATTAATTAAATAATTATGTTAGAAGGTTTTTTAAGAAAAAACAAATTTATCTTTAATTAGTTTAATTCTTACCATCCTTATTTTTTTCATTTCTTCTTTAATTCTTTTACACAAACACACATAATACATTACATATATTATTATACTTATTTCTAAATATAATCATCATAGTATAGAAAGATTGAAACAGCTAAAGGAATTATTACATAAAATATACGAATAAATAAATAAATAAATAATAATGTTAGAAGGTTTTTTTTCTTTTTTATTTTTTTAAATAAATTTATCTTTGAAGTAAGAGTTTGTTTACACGTATGCATGCACGCAAGCAAACAAGCAAAGAAAGAAAGAAAGAAGGGATGATAGGAAGAAGAAAATTCCTTTTACCCTTGTGTTATATTCTCTCTCCCACCCCCTCTTTAAAAGTACGGTCTGCCTTTTGCTCCCACCTTGTACATACACCCTCCCCACCACGTATCGAATGTTACCCTGCGGCCTATATATTTCCCGCAGGCTCTCCCACTTTACTCACTATCATTCCTGTCGCGGTGGCGTACATACGTTTACGAGACGCGTACACTAAACCGCACTTCCGATCGCAAAGTTTCAAACACGCGCCCGCGCTCAAGCTCACGCTCAAACTCACGAATCTAATTTTTATAAACGAAAACGAACGAGGGGGTAAAACAAACAAAATATAATAAAATCAAATCAAAAAACAAACCTACGAAATTGATCAATCAGTTTTGTTCTGCTCAGTTTTCTGTTCGGTTCAGTTTTGTTTTGTTTTGTTTTTCCCACCGTATATCGAACGAATTATAGTTTTATTAATTTCGACGATTTTATTAATTAATCTTCGTAATTAACTCTGTCCTAATTGCAAGTAACGTTGGTGAATAATTAATATTTGAAAATATATATATATATATTTTTTGTTTTTAATTTTTTATTGGTTTCATTTACATCAAGGGAGAAATATGTGTGTCACGTGTTTTTATGTGTACTTTTAAATCCACCTGTTATTCTAATCTCTGAAGCCCAACACCACTTCTTCTTCTTCTTCTTGCACTTCTTGTTTTTCTTCTTCTTCTTCTTCTTCTTTCCTCCTCCTTCTCGTCTTCTTCTTTTTCTTTTTCTTCTTCTTCTTATTTGGATGAGGATGAAGATGAGGTTCTTTGAATGGGATTAAAACGACGAACACATACGTTGACGTTACTGTTACTGTTACTGTTGCTGATGCTGATGTGTTGATGCTGGTTGCACTGGCCCTTTTGAAACGTGCCCGTGCGCGGGAAAATCGTTACGGACCTCCGTTCTCAACCGTCTTCCGCATTCTCTTTCCTTTCGAACGATCGTGAAACGAACAGGAAGAATTAAGGAGAGAGAGCAAGAGAGAGAGAGAGAGAAAGAGGGAGGGAGGATAAAAGGGGGAGAGATCGCAGAGAGCGATTTTCTTAAGGTAATCATAGTTTACGTCAGTTGGATTAAAATATTTCAGTGGGACGTTACCTTACATTTGTTATCTTCTTCACGAGTGATTAGAACAATTTTTTTTTTTCTAAAACCTTTTTTTTTGTCTAGTTTTTATATACGTGTTATAAACGTGAATACAAATTTACTTTACAAGTTGTTATCTTTGATAAAAATAATTTCAATGAGAACAACGACAAGAAAAAGGAATAATAATTGAATAGTCAATAGTAATTATTTTATTATGGTAGATTATGTTTGTAATTATATTAGTATGTTTATATTAAATTTTATAGATTTTTATTATCTATTTTATTTTTCTAATTTTTATTTGTTTAATTAATTATTTTAATTTTTTTTTTTGTACTAGTAATTATTTTATAATAATAGTTTATATATTTATAATTATATTAAGATTTTTATATTATAAATATTATATAATTTAATTAAATATTTTAGTTTTCCATTTTTTATTCCTTTCTCCAGTTATTTTTCTTTTTATTTTATTTTATTTTATTTTATTTTTTTCGTAATATTTTGTAGAAGTTTTAATTTAAAATTAAATTTCAATCTTATATTATAATATTGTACGAGAAAGAATTTAATTTAAATATTAATTTAAATATTTAATCGAAATAAGATTATGATTTCATTTTTTTTATGTGTGTTTGTGTGTATATGTGTGTGTGTGCCACTAATCTTCCTAAAGAATTTCTTATTAGTTCATAAAATTATAGAAATAAAGAGAAACTGCTGTCTCTTTATTTGTGATCTCATTCTTCACAGCTGTTTATACAGGAAAATGTTAGCATGCTATATGTGTCACACGCACGTTGTCCTTCTTCCCCATATGTTTTTCTTTTTCTTTTTTTCTCTTTTTTTTTTTCTTCTTGTTACATCGAACACGATTAGGGACGCTTATATAAGGGATTTTATTGTTAGTTATGGCACAAGGTTTTTTATTTTTTATTTTTATGCAAATATTAATTGTGTTAGCAAAAGGGACAAGTGTATCGCAATTCGCTTTTTGTTTTTGTTGTCTTTTTTTCTTATCCAAATATTTTTTAACATTTTTTATTTTTTTTCTTTGAATTTTTATTCTTTCTTTTTTTTCTTTTTTTTTTTTAAGAACTCGTATCACTTTTATTGTTTTATTTTGATAAAAAAATTCAATCATAAGTTTAATTACTTGTTGATTATAATAAAATTATTTTTTACAAATTTGTTCGAATAATTTTCATGGTTTTTAATTGTCTAATTTTTTTTTTTTTTTCATTATATATTTTTTTTTCTTTCAATTTGTCGAAAAGAAAGATAATTGGTAGAAATGTATTTTTCTTTTCTTTTCTTTTTACATTCTTTTCTAATTATCAGATATATTATAATTGAAAGATAAATTGTTATTTTATTAAATCGATTAGAATGGCCTGAGCCAAAGGGAAAAGTAACTTCTTCATGGATCGTTCACGAAAATTGAGAAATGTCGCGTCATCATCGTGGACCTCCATCGAAGTCGCGAGAGAAACCACAGGACGATTTGCTATGCGATTCAGGATGACAGTCCTTGATTTTCGGTAAGTCATTGCATCGAATATTTTCTAGTAAATTTTTTTTTTATTATTATCTTTCGTCCACATCATTTGCAATAATTTCGTTTCAAATAATTCTAAATGAATTATCTTCGTACAACCTACATGTAATACATAAAATAAACAACCATTTAATATTCTTGTATAATTTTAATTTTAAAATTCATCGTTCATTTGTCACATAAAATAATTTATGAACGGTTCATTACAAATGAATCATAAAACGTTGATAAATTTTACTACAAATTGATTATTTTCTTAAATTAACAACATTTCATTGAGTTATATTTCACATAAAATATTCTTTCTATATATATTATAGAATACATATACAAATTTATTAGTATATTTGATATATATATATATGTGCATTTAAATCCCACCCATAACAGGATTAATTTATTCCATGCTATATTAAGCTAAACCTCACGAAATAATAGAAATTAGGGAAATGAGATTTGTGTGTTGTACGCGAGAGTTATTTGAAAATTTATTAAGTGCTATTTGGAAATCATGTTAGAAGAATATATACACACATTGTGCTTTAGATAGACCATCATAAATTTTGCATTATGTTAAACCCATAATTTTGTGTTTCCTAAAAAACAGTGAAAATGCATCAGAGTATACACACATAAATATAAATAAATATATACATATATATATAATCGATAATATTAAATATTATATAAGTAAAACAACAAACGTATGCAAATATACACATATTGTTTCAATACATATATGAAACTTTACCTATACTCATAAATATATATATATATATATATATATATATATATATATATATNATATATATATATATATATATATATATATATATATATGTATATATATATATATACTTATTGTTAATGCATGCAAATACACATATATACATACACATATATAATATACACAAAAAAAAGGATCTAGAAGAGAAGAGAAGAGAAGAGAAATTTCTGGTTGGTAGATGCGATACTCCGATAACTCTTCGTTTTTAACGAGGATATTTTCCAACGTGGTCTTACATAGCGGCAGTTTATTTTAATACGGACACCTCGTAATAATTCTCGAATGTTTCTTTGCGAACGAAAGAAAATAAAATGAAAAAGAAAAAGAAAAAGAACACAGGAACAACAGGGAGAAAGAAAAGAGGAAAAGGAAGGAAAGGAAAGGAAAGAAAGGAAAGAAAGGAAAGAAAGGAAGAACTGGACATCAATCCTTGCCCTCGTTACTTTCGATGCTTCAGGCAAAGATTCTCTTGTTATCCCTTCCTCTTCTCTTCTCTCCTTTCTTTCCACCCACCAACCTCTCAACCCCTTAACCATCACCACCACCACTACCACCACTTACTTACCATCCCTTCTTTTAACTCTCATGGAGATTCGCATGAACTGGGGGCGCATGCCAATGTCGGCGGCATAATTACCGGTTTCGATTACCGGATCGGACAACGAACGCACGAACGCATATTTTCCATGGACGCACTAAAGTCTTACCTATTTATATACATATACATATGTATGTATATATAATATTATACATGTATATAACAACTCCCACATACTCGCAAACCTCTTCTCCTTTTCTATTTCTATCTTTTTTTATTCACTCTTTCACACACACTTGTTTTATATTTTTTTTTCTCTCTTACACACATCACACACACGTTCACATACACTTGTTTTGTCTCTCCTTCTCTCTCTCTCTCACTCTCTCTTTTTTATTCTTATTTTTCTTCTTCTTTTCTTTCTATCTCTCCTATTTCTACTCCCTCTTTCTCGTTTTTTTCTTCATTTTTCTTTTTTTTTTTAAGGCCCCTGTCCTTCACTTTATTCTACTCACCTTTTTCGTTTTGTTTTTATTTTATAAACCCTTTTATTCATTCTTTTTTTTTTTTTTTTTTACTGTCCATACTTAACTATCCATTTTACCCGTATTAACCCTTTCTTTGTTTTTCTTGAAAGATAGGAGACCATTTCGTTCGGTCATCGGAGTAACGACGTCACTTCTGTAATTTGATCAACGACAATCTTTCTCAAATTTCTTACAAAAGAAAATAAGCCCTTCCTTCCACCCCCACACTCATCCCCTTCCATTCTTTTTTAGTTTCGATATGATGAGAAGATAATATACCAAACTATAGTCTTCTATGTCAGACCATTTAAACAATACATTTATTATTTTTATTTTTTAATTTGATAGAATTTTTAATGACAATTTTAATGTTATTGGGTTGTTTTGAATGTAGTTTCATTTTTTTCCTGACACAATTTTGGCATTAGGATTTAAAAGGTTTAAAAAAAGTGTCTTCTCATTACATGCATACATTGTCAATGTATGAATGACAATGTATGAATGTATTGTAGACAATATTGTACAATATTCTATATGTATGAATATTGTCTACAATACATTCATACATTGCCATTCATTTTTACAAAAGACAAACATCCGAATTGAAAACCTCCTCCTTTTTGAAGTCGATTAAAAAACGAAATTAATTTCTGAACAAAACTCAATTTATCATACTTAAAAAAAAATAATTTCTTATTACTAAAAATTTAATAATATTAAAAATATAAGTATGTATATAGTTGATAGAGTATTACTAATACCAGTTTGAAATGAGATAAGAGTTAAAAATGTATAGTGACTCACTAATAAGTTCACATATTAATCGTGAAAAAATGTAGGAAATCGTCGCATTTGGTTGCAATAAGTTTTTCCTTGTATATCCAATATATATATATATATACATATACATATGTGTGTGTATATATATACTTTGTGTTACTACACAATCTGTGTAGTAAAACGACGAAACGGAATTTGCTGCAAAGCTCCCCGTCGCGTTGGACGATAATCTCGAATATAAATCGTACCCACCCCGTTACTAATCCTAGTAATAAAAAATGTACCAGAGAGAAAACAAAATTGAGAGAGAGAGAGAGAGAGAGAGAGAGAGAGAAGGGAAGAGAGAAAGAGATGCATTTATTGGACGCACGTCCAATTCGAAATTAAAATCATAACAGCGAAGCAAGTTTTACGTTCTCGAAACTAACCGTTCTCATACGTACTCTAATACTAATACAATTTTTATACTTGCATTTGCCAAATAGGATATCATCTATCCAAAGCTCGTAATTTATTTAAACATTAAACATTTACGTTAGTACGAAATTGCGAATGTACGCGAGTTACTCGTACAGGGTGTCTCAGAAGTTGTTGCTTTGCTTTACCGAGTAAAGGAACAAATTTAAATCAATTTTTTTTTGTTTTTTTATTAGATCATAGTAGTTTTGAATTAGAAATTTGTTTAGAATTTTTTGACATACAACGATTTAACTAAAAGAAAAAAAATATTTATGCACTGTGATACGACCAAATTTATGGTTTCGTATTTTAGTTGTTTATAAAGTACTATTATTGTTCATATAATATTGGTAGTGCACAATAATTATATTTATATTTATATTTGTATTTATATTTTAGTTTGCAAATAATAATATGCAATTTGGGACAACCTGTATATATATGTTGCAAGTATATCGATCATCAAAGAAGGGATAGGACGTATTCGGTAGCAAACGATCGATCATCGATATTATCGATCGATCATTTTGCCTTTCGTTCGTTCATTTGTTCGTTCATTCGTTCGTTCATTCTGGTTGAACCTTTTACTTTTGGCATGTACATAATATGTGCAACGCGTTTAAAATTCTTTTAGATTTAAAGCTATCAACGTCATACCATCGTGACCGATAAGTATGAACTCGTGAATCGTTCATTTAACACATTTATCGTCATTAATGTGTATATATATATATACATTATATATGTATATATGTGTACGTGTATGTATTTGTATACATGTATCCTCTTTTATCGTCATGAATGTGTACTTACATACACATATGTGTAATGTGTGAGAATGTACACATACCTGTATATTACGCATATTTACGCTGTGACATCATAGGTAGACGATAGTCAAATGTATGCATATTTAACGGTGTCATATTTTTCAAAAATAGAAAATATTATATTCCAAAAATTCTTAACTAAAATGAATTTTATTTATTATATAAAAAAAAATTTAATAATATTCATTTTATATATCGTTTTTATTATCTAAAATAACTTTTTTATATAATATAATAAAGAAAATAATTAAATAAATAATAAAATAAATGAATAAAACGTTATTATAAAAAATAAATTTAATATAAATTATAGAATATCATTTATATTGTATATAAATATATTTATACAATATAATTTATAGAATAATTTATCGGTTTTTTGTTTTTCTTTCTTTTCTTTTTTTTTTTTTTTTTGGTTTTAATTCCATAAATTATATACTATAAATTTAGGATTATAATTTATTCTGTAAATTATACTATAATTTATTCTATAATTTATTCTATAATTTATATTTTATAATATCTACAATACCAGGTGTACGTGTAGTGTATACTCTTCTTCTTCTTTTTCTTCTTTTTCTTTGAGTAAACACATACCGCGTAAGCTATATTAAAGCATACTTTTTCTAGACTTTAATACCATACATAGTTTTATTGAACATTTCATTATTATTTTTAATAGCATATAATGTAAGGGAATTGACGCATAGCGTAAAATTTGTTAAAATAGGTATTGCAAACGAATGATTTTAAGAATCCTGATTTTTAACGCAATCTTCTTCTTCTTATTCTTCTTCTTTCACCTTTATAGAAGAAAAATCTTTAATCTCTTCTTTTTTAATTCTTTTTCAAATTGTAATCACTTTAATTTCATTTAAATCGGTTGAACAATTCATAAAAGGAAAAGTGGAATATTTCGTGTGACCTATTCCAAACTAATGAGGTCTTCTTCTACACACGTTTCTTCGATTGAGAACGTTTGAAAATATATAATAGTAAAAAGAGAAAAAAAAAAAAAAGAAAGAAAAAATTGGATTAAAAGAAAAAACGACCTTATCATCA